GACAGCTCCGGGGGGGTGGGGGGGTGGATGGTGCTGAAGGACAGCTCCGGGGATGATGGTGCTGAAGGACAGCTCCGGGGTGGGGGGTGATGGTGCTGAAGGACAGCTCCGGGAGCCCGGGCTGGCGGGGGTGGTATCGGGCGGCGCTGGTTTACTTCACCTAGAAAACAATTTAAAAAAATAATAGATCAAGTGACTCTTTTTCTGTGCACAGAGGCACAGGTCGCCTGTAACCATTCTTAGTGTGTTACTTGAAAGCAAAGTGACTACTAGCTGGAGGGGAACTACTAGCTGGAGTGACTACAAGCTGGAGGGGAACAGATTTAGACTGGAGATGAGGAGAGGGTTCTTCACTGTGAGGGTGGTGGAGCACTGGAACAGGTTGCCCAGGGAGGTGGTTGAGGCCCCATCCCTGGAGATATTCAAGGAGAGGCTCGACGAGGCCCTGGGCAACCTGGTCTAGTTGGGGGTGTCCCTGCTGACTGCGGGGGGGTCGGACTAGATGGCCTTTGGAGGTCCCTTCCGGCCTGGGCAATTTCTATGATTCTGTGATTCTATGATTCTATACTAGGTGAGGTGACTTCATTGCACTCTGTGGACAACAATAAAGCTCTGATTATTAGTGCTCATTGCAACTTTAAACAGCGGCAGCGTATGTAGCCTGTGAAGTAAACACTTGCACTATGCTAGGGGCATGCTTTATATTAAAGCCAAGAAACCAGTATTTATCTCCCTCAAGACAATCGGTCTCTATTTTGAAAATGGGAAATCTTTTAACAGCATTTTTTCTCAATTTGATATTATTTTTAAGTGAACAGAACTTACACAAAACCTCTTCCTTGACACTTGCAGATTTGGAAATGGAAACCATGGAAAATGGTTGTGAGGTTTTGTTTTTGTTTTTTTTTTTAAATGACCAAAAAAGGCAGTTAAAATTCTTCCTAGAAAGACTGACTATAATATGTGTGTGTATGTGTATGTGCTCTCATATGTGTAAGGGACTGTGTACTGGGGGAGATCACCAATCAAATACAAAGGAATTCAACATAGCAATATTAAAATACATAAGTCCTTCCATTTCTCCCATGCAAACCCAAAAGAGAGTCACTAAAGTCACAGTGGGATAGGAGGGAACAACAGAGAAGCTATTTTAAGCTCATTGTGCCTCAGGTGGTCCACTAAAATGTGCTCTTGAGTGCTCCAGTACATCATGGCGCCTTGTTCTGTGTGAAAGTGGAAGCTGCTGTTTGAACTGAACTTAAGAGAAGCAGATTGTAAGTGCTGAATGTAGTTAAATGCCTGTGTGGACATTCATAATGACCTTTAGATTGTGCTTTCTATTCAAGGAATTTTCCAGATTCTTCTTTAAAAATTATTGTCTGGTTTTATCTGCTCTTACATATGGTCACACATTAGTAAATCTTGGAAACTGCCAGCAAAATGTGCTTCAGGTATATGCATCATTTTATACTCTCCTGTATCTGTAACCTCTAGCAGGGCCCAGATCCATAGAAGTTGCAGAGTGTCAGCTCTTCTCCCATACACCCCTTCTTTGCTCCCTGTCAAGATTTCCTCTGTCTGAAACGTGCCATGAGATAAAGAAGCCTGCACCTCTGACCTTTCTTCTTCTCATTTTAGGGAGGGGTGGGGGCAGGGGACAGTCCATCACATCTGCTGGGAAAGGAACCTGCTGGGAAGGACAGCAGGACTGTCCCTCAACATGTAAATTCAACATTTGTCTTCAAAATACAGAATTACTGGAAAAACAATCCCTAAAATTAGGATGTTTCCAGTAGGACTATTAATCAGCAATACAATGTCAAGGAATACTCTACTTATTAGGTTGATTTAGCAACTACATGTGAAGTGAGTCAGGCTGCAGCTTAAATTTCTTATCACTCTGCAGAGTGATGGCTAAATTGGCATTGCCATTAGAGCCAGGGCATTGCTCGGCCGCAGCGGCGCTGGGACTGTGCTGTGTTGTGTTCTGTGTGTATTTGGGAATGTTCTCTAGAGCGTGTTTCTGAGTACTTATCCAGCCTCTATGTGCAGGAGCAGAAGAAGGATTTGTATAGAAACATTGAAATGCAATACGATAGCTAAAGAAAATCAAAAAGAACTGACAGACCCATTCATCTTTCTGTCAATCTATGAAATTTCTAGTGCATTATTAGGTTTTTTTGCCCCCAAATTTTTTTGCCTTCATACTGTGATTATTGCATTTACCCTTAAAGAAGTGAGAGAGTGAAGACATATGAAATACTGTATATTATATTATCTCTTTCTGTGAAGTCAGAAAATACAGCAGATGATATCTTCATATCTATTAGGTCTTAATGCTTTTGTGAACGCTTCCAATAAAATACATGTATTAACCTACGTATATCCTCTTGGCCCATATTCATTTTCTTTGGTGGTAAAATTGCTGTTTTATTGCTTTCTGTATTGTGGGGATATAGACAGGAAGGCTCCACACGACTTTAAAATGTTGCGTGTCTCTTTCTGTCACTCTGAAAAATTTCCCTGGAAGAAGTGAAGAACAAATTATAATATTGGAAATATATACTCTGAGGAGCATCAAATTAACCTTTTATTTGTGAACCAAATAAATGAAAATGTATCAAGACTTAAAATGAATTTATTAATTTAAAAGAAAAAAGCAGCTTTTGGAAATGCTGTCAGACAAATTAACGTGTTTGTTTTTACTTTGTAACTGTAGTACATTTACTCCTAAAATGCAAGGCAGACGGATGGGGACTCCAGGGAGAATCACAAAGAGCACAAGCGTGAGCGGGGAGATGTACAAGCTGGAGCACAACGACGGGAGCCAGTCGGACACGGCGGTGGGCATGGTTGGCACAGGTGGGAAGAAGAGGCGCTCCAGCCTCAGTGCCAAGGTGGTTGCCATCGTGTCCCGCAGGAGCAGGAGCACGTCTCAGCTCAGCCAGACAGGTGAGTGAGACGCACGCCCTTCCCAAACAGGACTCACCACACCTGGTTTACTGTTATTTCATCTGTGGCATCTGTGTTACGTGTATTTGGATATAGAACCCTCAGGAGAGAAGATTTTCTGGCTGTGAATAAATTTCCAAGATACTAATTTTCTTTCACCTTTAGACATCTGCAAGAAACAATTTACAAATGCTTTTTAGAATCTGTTCCGTAACCACTTTCTGTCCTAATCCATGAGAAACGTTTTTATCTCTTAGAGGCCTTGTTTATAGGTAGACATGGAAATGCAGAGAGACACACGTGGGTATGAGCAGTGGATAATGGTCTGGTTAAGAGCGGCTCTTTATGTGTAGGGAATTTCTTTTAGCAGAAGAGTGGAATACAAATGGGGTAATTGGAATCTGAGCAAATGAACTCAGTTATGTAACACGGATAAAAGGTTGTACCTGAAGTGGCAAAAATATGTTTTTAAAAACTACCTTTGATTTCTTAGTCAAGAGTAAGTCCAATATTTTTTTCTCTAAAAACAACACAGGCAAGTTGGGGTCAGCGAATTCAGATGAATTATCTGACAGCGTGATGCTTCATTAGGAACATCAGACTTCCAACTCTTTATTGCTACTTTAGAAATCTTAAAAGCTTCACATCTGTGTAGCCTGAGGAACAAAAACTTATTCAGAAAGACACAAAAGAAAAAAGAAATGTTTAAAGTCCCCATCCTCCTATTGAAGCCCAGTGAAGACTTTTGCTCTTGTCCTCAGTGGGAGCAGGACCTGACCCTAAGGGTTCTTTCTTACTAAAAGAAGGAAAAGAAAGAGGAAAAGCTTCAGCCTAGCACAGAATTCATGCATTTTGCAGCCCTCCTCTCACACAGTCAGGGTAATCTGAACGATGGTAAGTAACAATATTGTTTATTTCTATCATCAAATATCTCACCCTTTTTCCTTGGTTTTCTTTTGTTGCCAGATGAGCAGTAGAAGTGATTCTTTCAAAACGTGAAGCTTGGTCAGCCTTAACAAAAATACTGTAACACTCTTCTACACTACTCATCTATGAATTTTAAGCCAGGAAGGGTATAATCATGCAGTTGGGCCAAATGATAGATGTACTAGACATATTTGAAGCCTAGAGTTGTAAGTAAAATTGTGTTGCTCAGAAGTGCACTAACCCAAACGTTAGACTAGAGCAGAGACAGTTGTGTACAGTGAGATGCTATTTTAGATGCATCGGAATCAATCACGTGCTCTTAAGTAATAACAAGTGGTAGTGTATTAGAGAAAGGATTTTAGGTTGATGTTTATCTACTTAATAAAGAGCAAAATATTTTATCTATTTCACAGATATTTTTTTTTGTGGTTTGATCTGGCTTTCCTTTCTAGCTCCTAAATCTCATTGAAATAGGAGTTTCTGTGCCAGAGCAGAGCTTGGCTCCGTCCCACTCAGCAGTGGGTCAGCTCCCAGCAGGAACCAGGGCTGCAGGGGCAGAGGAAAGCACAGGGGCCTTCCACACTTGGGATGCTTTGCCTTGCATCAACCCTTGCTCCTACTTCTCTGTGGAGTTAGTAATTAATTCAAAAGCTAAACTGTGACTTCCAAACACTTTTTAGCATTATCTATTTATAGCTCAGATGCTCCCATTCCTCACAGAAAGGTACCAGAGCTCTCCAGATTTTGCTCGGTGTAAATTTCAAAACAATAGGAATTTTTCAAGGAATAGAGCACCTAAATTTATAATGAAACTCAAACAGCAAATCAAATATGAAAATTACAATTAAGTATTATTCATGTTTGTAAAACAGAGTCGAGAATATTTACTTTGCCTCACAGGGAAACAGCACTATCTGGCTTTAGCAGAGCAGATAAGATGTGGCATGTTTTATCAGTCACTATTTTTTTAGTAATATTGTCAGAAATCAGTGAGTTGAATTAATGAATTGTTTAGAACAATATACCCATGAGAGTTGATATGTTTTCCAAAGAAAATCCATTGCCAGAGACTAAATACTCCTGCCCTAAATCAGGGACACACTTTCCTTCCTTTCTGTAGTGTACAAGAGGGGAGGAGAAATCTAAAAAGGTGTAACTCACTTTAATGTGTTGTGCCTAAGCAACTTAATAATGTCTCCGCTATTCAGAATTTAAAAAAAAAAGAATTGGTTTAACAATATAATATAAACTACGTCCTTAAAATTGATTATGTGAAAACTAGTTAGAACAGCCTAATTCTGAAGTTTTAAAACTGGTGTGGAAGTGTATGGGCCTCCACAGAAGTGGTGCAAAGTATGAGCTTCTGCTACAGATCTGCAGGGACTGAAGGTGTGCTGTGGACACAGAGCATGGATTTTAAAGGGAGTATAAAAAACCCCAGAAATGTGTGTGTAGCCTTCATAGTTTTTCCTGAATTGGTCAGCTTAATTTTTTTTTTCCTGTGACTTGCATGATTGTAAGTCAGGTATGTGTGACATACATAGTTATTTGTTTCTGAAAACTCAAAATAGAAGATCAGAAATGAATCAAGAGGTCAGATATTTCTTGAAAATTTGAGATTCTATATTTTTGTGCAATGTAGTTCTAAAATTCTAGTTCACTACTGGCTTCACAACCAGTAAAATTAACTTCCATCTTGCTTTTTTTTATAATCTTGGTGAATGAGGGCTGGAGTTGACTTTTCGTAGGTGATTCTTGCTTTCAGCACACTGCACGGGTTTAATCTTGCGTAGAAATAGAAGAGGTGTGTGAAACTGCTACTGGGTGCTGTTACTTCCAAGAGTAAATTTTCTTTTCAGTTGAGAAAGGAGTGTGTGTGTGTGTGTGTGTGTGAGCCAGTGACACGTGTGTCTGTGCACACACAAATGGACCTCGGCGCCTTTGGGGCAGAGCCACTCGTGGGTTAGATTTAGCAGGATCCGTAATCGCATTATTTTGTGCACCCTTGGTCAGTGCTGTTGGAAAACATTTATTCTGAATATGTGCCTTACAAGATTGTCAGTGAAAGAATCGGTTTTTATTTTTACGCAAATCTGCAAGGAAAAGTATATAATTCTGTTGCACCTTCCTTTTGATTACATTTAAGGTTTCATAATACTTTTAATAGCTGTTTGTTGAAATAATGAAATCCTTACTTACTATGGTTTGTTTGTGCCCACAAATTGGAAAGGTTTTATAGTTCATCAAAAAAAGCTTGTAACGTGCTGGCAGTATTCTAATGAAAATCCAGCTCTGCTTATGCTATCACAGTTAAAAGAAGAAAAGAAGAGGAGAAGAAAAAAAGAAAAGCTACAAAAGAAAGAAAAATAGCTCCAGGCACACTCTGTACAATCCAACTTTTCTAGCTTCCTTCGCCAGCCTTATTTTTGTAAATAAATATATATGTATATACAAGATGAATATATAACTGCAGATTTTCAAAATAATTACAGCAACTAATATTTAAATCATAGGAAACCGGATTATGATAGGAAATCATCATCTATTGTCTTGATTTGTGATACAGCACTCTGTTCCCCTGCAGATATTCTTATATGATAGTTTCCCAACCAGGGAGTGATGTTACTGCATCTTGATTTAGGGTTCTGCGCTTCTTTCAAAAGGGATAAAAACTGCTGCCGTAGGAGGAAAGAGTTTTATTACAGAATTTATACCATGAATAGAGACATAATAACGTGTTTCAAAGTGGATGGAGGTGATGGCAGGGGTGTCACCAGTGAGATGAGTTCTGGAGAAAAGGCAAAGCTCAGTCTCATTAAACAGAAGTATTCCCATCCTGGATCCCTCTCTGTTCCCATGGGACATGCAGAGACAGGCCTTCAGAGGGGAAAGGATTTCTCCCTTTTGCTCTCTAACGCCTGCTCAACAGAGAGGGGTGCAGAAAGTAGGAGGACACTTTTCTTGTTCTTTTTAAGGCAAAAGAGTGCTTTGCAATCATTCTGACACTGTATCGTCAGCACCTTGTCAGAGATTTGCCAGTGTCTCATCTCTGTGATGCTCAGCCCGATGCTGGAGCCTCCTGGGTCAGCCAGACAGGTTTGCTCTGTGAGGCACATGGACAGGAGGGCTGGCTGGGGCTTTGTTTGCTTTGTTGAAGGTCTTAGAGGATTTTTATTCGTTAGCTGTGTCTAATGAAGGCCAACTTTTCTGTCAAAAGCACTGAGAGTAAGAATTTAAAAGGAATTACAAAGTTTGGGAGTGTTATTTAATTAAGATATTCAAAACATGGTAACCAGTACAGATAGACTGAAAACCCCAGCACTGAGATAAATATGACCCAAACTACCAGAGATGTGACCGGTGAGCTTTTAGAGACATGGGTTCCATTTTTATCGAATATGAGTTCTTTGAGACCATTTCCATTTTCCAAGGTGCTCAACACCATTAACACCAGCATGCTGACATCTCTTGAGGGACATCAGTGGTCTCATATGAGACAGAGGTGTGACTTTGCCTGGGATGCTGTGTATGGTTCCCGTTACTGGCTTAAGAACAGACCAGAGCAGGGGAGATGCAGAGGAGGAGACACACGGGGAGCTCCTCCAGGGGCACGGCACCCCGGGCCTGTTCGCAAGCACCACTGTGCTGGGGTAAAAACACCGCTTCCTGGGAAACATGGAAATTAAGCATAGTGATGCAATCTCCCAGGCTCAGGGGTATGTCATTTCAGAGCAGATACTACTAGAAAAAAGATCTGGTTTTCATTTTTGCAGTCTTTGTTTGGAAATACCAGCACGGATAATTTTCTGTCCATCCTTGTAATAATTTTAGGGTACAAGAAATTTCATACAGGTCTAGACAGTATGGACAGATAAAGCAGGTAATAAATCAGAAATAACATATACTGGAGGGTGGAGCTTTGTTTGTTATCTTTCTTGAGAAAGCCATCGCTTCTTTCTGTAAGCTTGGGGAAATAATTTTGTTACTTTTTCACAAGGGTTGTGACAACCTTTTCTTGCAGTGGTCAGGCTCCTTTTGGTTTTTTTCCACATTTCCTTTTGATTGATTGAGTC